TACCAAAAACAAAACAAAACAAAAAAATACAGGGAAGTCTGAGCTATTACGGTTTTTCAATGCCTATCTTTAAACATTATATAGGCTTAAAATCTGCTAAGCAGATTTGCCACAATCACTACTGCAGCCCCAAACTTCTCATGTCCCTATAATTACATGCTCAGAACTGGACAAACCTAAGTAAGTAGGGCAAGCGTCCACTAATGGAACACATAAAGGCATGGTAGCTATGGTCACCTAGAATGTTAAAATATGTTCACATAAATGACAACAGGTGTTCCAAGAGAAAGGCCACATAAAGTAAGTCATTAATGGTGAGTCACTAGTATATAATCTTTACTTCAGATAAATCATGAACACATCCTAAATACACTAAGCACAGAAACAGTCATATGCAGTGTCTGCACAAGTCAAATTAAGGAAGCACTCTGGTTAAATTTTCTGTCATTGAAACTAATCAAAGAACAAAATACCAAAATGAATCAAATACCCATTATAAACCAGGCACAAATCCTATGATTGCTGAAAGGTACCAAAAAAACCCAAAAAACAAAAAAACCAAACCACTGCCTGTCCAGGGGGAGTGGTTCTGTTCTACGGCAGGCAAAAATGTACAGGTCCTTGTTCCTGTTAGCTAGACTGCAAAAGCATCTTCCTGAGCATACCAGAACCGGATCTGACAAGGAAAGTACAATGCATGCTAAAGTTAGGCCCTATCTCACAAAAAAGAAAAAAATGCTTCCCTGAAGCCAGAATGTAGCTTATTCTTCTTGCCTTACTGAGAAAAATAATGTCTAAATTCTATTTCTCGAGGACCTGCTCCAAAGTCTTTACCATACAATCTCTGATCAGGTTCACCGTTAATTCCTTGAACAACCACATCCTTTCCTTCTGAACTTAACTGAAATGCAAATGGAGGAAGATATATCCAAGTACATACTTCACTTTCACTGCTAGACTGCAGAGCCCATGAGGTATAATCTGGGATTTCTTTTCCTCCACAGTAGTAAGCACATATAGCACCCAGACTCAATACACTGTATATCATGTTCTCAAATCTAAACTGAAACAAAAATCAAGAGATAATGTCTCTGACTCCAAGTGACAGAACAGTTACTGAATTTCCAGGTATGAGGTGACATTGTAAGGACTGGGAAGCAAGAAGTGTTAAATAGATGGGATACTTTCACTTATGAACATGACAGTTTCATCATTTTTAAAGCCCTTTCAATTGTGTATTATCCGTAGATTCTCACAACTCTGAAAGAAAAGAATTATTTTAATTTATTAAGTAAACAAGTAGCTTCAATGAATTTGGAAAGGACCACAGGAGCTAACTGGTAGAGCTAGAACTTCTTGGGATCAAGAAACACTAAGGAAAATAAATCCACCATTATACTCTCATAGGTGATGATCACAAATCTACTAAAAGTCACTTCCTATAATGTATAAGATACAAATTTTTTTTGAAATAAAAATTTATACCTTGATGGTGGGGTATATGAGTTTTTGCTGCCTTTAACCAAAATGAGTCAAATTTGCTCACTAGAATTAGTATATGCTGCTACATATGTTAAATCTGTATAAATGTTTTTAAATCAACAAGGGTTTTCATATCCTCCCTAAGGTAGCTGAGCATGGTGGCACATGCCTATAATCCCAGCACTTAGGAGGCTGAGGCAAGTAGACTGCCACCAGCCTGGGCTACACAGTGAGTTCAAGGCCAGCCTGAACTGCAAAGTGAGATCTTATCTCAATCAATCAATCAATCAACTCTAAATTTAAGCAGTCATTTCAAGCTCAGTGCAGCAGACCTAGAGCCTGAGCGCTCCACAACAATTCTGTCCTTTACCACAGAGCACAAACGAAACCGAAGGTGTCCTCAGAGGTGCTCCCAGGCCCAGCTGGCCCCATATCTCCAAGCCTGTGAAAGCTTGAGGAGAAGCCAGCCCACACTGTGCCAAGATTTCAGACTTAAGCACCGTGAGACTTGAAATAGGTGTTGGTTTAAGCCATCAAGTTGGTGGTAATTTATTATACACCAACACAAATGTATCTTTTAAAACAGAGGTCCTTAATGCAGGGTATGGTGGTGCATGCCTGTAATCCCAGCACTCAGGAGGCTGAGGCAGGAGGATCACTGTGAGTGTGAGACTAGCCTGGGCTACAAAGTGAGCTCAAGGCCAGTCTGAATTACATGGCGAGACTCTGTCTCAAAAGGACAATCAATCAATCAATCAATCAATAACAGGAGCCACTTAATTACAGTAATGTATTTATTTGTGTATGTGCCCCTTGTTATAGGACAATGTCTATAAAATATAATGCTTTGCATTCTTATTATTTTTAAACAAAAGTTCAAACTCAAAAAGGTTCTTAGTAAATTAAACTAACACTAAGAAAAAGAATATCAAATACTCCTGGCTTCAGAAATAAAAACTTAAACCTTGACGGTAGGGTATAAAACAGTACAACCACTTCAAAAACTATTTGGCAATAGCAAAACTGTCAAACCTCATACACCAGTACTATGACTCAGAAATTTTATAGAAAGACTTGCACTGCACACAAATATTCACAGCTGTGTTAGTTATAGTAGCCAAAAACCGAAAGTAGTCCAAAATGTTTATCAACAGAAGAATGGAAAAATTACGGTTATCTTACTTTAATAAAAAATTAACATCAATTAAAAAGAACAAACTAAGCTGGGCACACCCGTAACCCCAGCACTCAGGAGGCTGAGGCAGGAGGATTGCTGTTTTGTGCTCAAAAAAAGAGAACAAACTAATAGTATGTACAACAAAGATGATTCGCACAGATACTATATGATGAGTGAAAGAAGCCAGAAACACAAGGTATGCAATAAAGAATGTGGATTACCTCAGTGGGGTTGTGTTATGACACGAATGTGTCTTGCCAAAATTCACCTGAAAATTAATGCCTCCACTGTGATGAAATTAAGAGGTATGGACTGTAGAACACAATTAGGACACATGGGTTCTGCCTTGCTGAGTGGGATTAGTGCCCTTATAAAAGAGGCTTGAAAAAGCCAGGTGTGGTGGCACACATCTATAATCCCAGCACTCAGGAAGCTGAGGCAGGAGGATCACTGAGAGTTCAAGGCCAGCCAGGGCTAACTAGTGAACTCAAGGCCAGCCCTGAACTACAAAGTGAGACCCTGTCTCAAAAAATATAAAATAAAATAAAATAGGCTTCAGGGAGATGGGCATGGTTATAATCTTATAATCCCAGCACTCTGGAGGGTAAGGCAGGATGATCCCTGTGACATTGAGACCAGCCCAGCATACATAGTGAGTTCAAGGTAAGGCTGGACCACATAGCAAAAGCTTGTCTTTAGGAAAAAGAAAAGAAGAAGAGGCTTAGGAGTGACTGTTATCTCTCGGACAAACAACAAGGCACCGTCTATGAAAGCAGAGTGCAAGTCTCCACCAGGCTGCTGGAGGGCTGATCGGGGACTCTGCAACCTTCTGAACCCTGATCAATAAGTTCTTGTTGTTTATATACCATCCATTCTAAGGTATTTTGTTATAACATCAAGAATGGACTAAGATGGAATATAAAATCCGGATAGGAGGAATGCTAAAGAAGCATCTAACAGATGCTAACGGCTAGGGATTTAGCTCAGCAGCACAGTGCCTACCTGCAAAGCGCAAGGTCGTGAGTTTGATTCCTGGTACCGGAAGAAAAAAAAAAAAAACAGATGCTAAAATTGTTCTATATTTTGATCTGGCTGGAGCTTTCGTGGTTACTTCTACATATAAATCACCACTGAGATGTAAGAAATGTACTAACACTTAAATGTGTATCATACTGTAGTCTGTCCAAAATCTGTATGTTGAAATACATGCCTCAAGGCACAGATTTAGGAGATGGGGTCTTTAGGGAGTGATGGAACTGGTAATCTCCTGAGAGGCCCCAGAGAAATGCTCACCTTCATTCCACCAAAGAGAAAACATCACTGTGCAACCCAGAAGAAAGTCTCTACCAGAATCTACCAAGTTGGCAACCTGACTTTAGACTTCCAACCTCCAGAACTCTGAGAAATAAGTTTATAACCAAATTGGCCACCCAATCTGTAGTATTTTGTTATAGCAGGCTAAATGGACTAAGAGATACACTTCAAAAATATTCTTGCTCCTCTACAACAGCTTTTCATTAACCAGAAATGGCATTTTAAGATGCTTGAAATAGGCACGAACTACTCATAAGAAAACACCCTGAAAAAAAGCAACGAAACATAAATACTGTCAAACTACTGTACAAATACATATTTGTAACAATATTTATAAGAAATTATCAGCCATGGTCTTCTTTTAAACACAGTGCCTAACAAATAAGCTTCACTCAGTAAATGTTAGCTGAAATGCACAGTATATTTCATAGATAATACCACAGTTTAGGTATCAGAAGACCAAAGAAGTCTGTATGTACAAATAGCATAATAAATGCAATGGAGCAGATCCCATAGCTGGGAAAAATTATGGTTGTTGTCCAATTAATGACTTCTTTTTACCTCCAAGAAATACAAGTCAAGTGTTAAACCATCACCAAAGAAATGCAGGTATTAACTGTTCGAGATGAAGGCAACATCATTTCTATTTTCACAGTCTTATATGTGGGTAGGGGCAACTCTTTACTGTAGAGACCTAGAGCATGAGAAACTCATCCCTGCCATGGACAGAAAGCATCCTGGCCTCCCTGTTACTGGGCATTAAACAGGCAGCAGCCACTCTCACAGAGAGGGAAACAGGGGTATGGGGGAAAACTGACCCACTTAGGAAGGGGCAGACCACTACGAACTGTGTGGTCACATTAGCATCTTTCCTGCTGGATGGAGCACAGGAGACAGAATTCAAGAGAATGAGTCTCACTAGCAGCAAGACTAAGAAACTGAAGGAAAGGAAGTTTCAAATCCAAGAGGACCTGAAAAGACAACTGCAAGTTACCAAGCAAAAAAGCAAAATAGAATCACAGCTCACCTCACTATTGTGGCCCCGCAGGTTGAAGTTTATCCTCTGTGGAGTACTCCTGTCCCTGCGACAGTGGCTGGAGGTGAAAGTCACCCCCACTACGCCACGCCCGTTGCCTGTAGCCAGCCAGCCTTCCTCATAGTAACGCCTCCTACACACGGGTTTCTCCTTCTCACTCTTGGGAACACGACCCTTCCAAGACAGGCATAGAATGTTGGAGTCGCTGCAAAGCACAGGTCCATGTTCCACTGCTGCATACATACTTTTTTCAATGAATTGTTTTACTTAAAAAGTAATGCTTAATGCTGAAAATTTTAAACCAATTTCTTTCATCAGTTTATTTTATTTTTGTGATTGACGTGCTTGTCTTTTCCCCCCTTTTATTTAAGACTGACCTGGAGCTAATTAGAAGGTCAGTATTTTATAAAGATCCACCAAATGCATAGTGAAAAAATTCCTCTATAAAAGATGATGGCAGTCTGCTAAGAAAAGGTAATGCCTAAAAAAACACTGGGTCCATTTTTATTTTCAAGTCCTTAGAGGAAGAATGCGCTGATCCTTTGGAGAAAGAGCATCATTAATAAGTGGTGATCAATATTTCTTCTTTTTTACTCAACTTAATTATTCTCATTCAGCCTGAGATTCCAGTTTTGTGTAATGTAATTCCAGAGACAAAGAGTTTCAAATACATAGATTTCAAGTAACTTAAGGCTTTAAGAATCCCTCTAGCTAGAATTTTCTATTCAAAAGTTCAGCTGTAGAGACAGAACATACAGGATCATCTTCCTTCTGAAGCCACCCTCTGGCATATTTTCTGAACTAGACAAATTTCTGCTGCAAAAGCTGAAAAAGATTGCATAAAGGGAAAGAAAGGCACACAAACTGTGCAAAACGGACCAGAGTTTGTGCAGACAGCAGTTCAATTTTAGGAAGAAAAACACTCTTCCTTGCTGTTCAGAACCGGAAATTTCCTATTTTAATGCTGGGTCCTGTGCCCCCTGGGAACGCAGGGTTCCCTGGGACAACTCCTCTGCTAGCCAGCAGAACCCTCAGTGCCATAGAGGCTAGAAAGCAAGATCCTTCAGCAGAGGCAGAGACTAAAGCTATTAAAGTAGACCGAGTATTTGCCTTAGGGTAGTTCTAATTCTGCTTGCTAACAGAATAATACTGTTGGATTTTGTTCCTTTCCTTGGACTCTTCCCAGTTACTTTTCTTTTCTGTTCCTAAAGCTCATGTATTTTTTTCATCCTCAATAAAAAAAAACTAATCTCAGCATTAAGTCCATCAAGTAATCTTCTCATACACAAGTCTTCTTAGATGCAACACAGCAGAAAATCCCTCAAACCACACCCCTAAGCTATGGTCAAAATCCCCAGGACTGCACCATTTCCCTATAGTCACTGTGCTGATGGATATCTTCCTGTTCACATTGAGTGTTTCCACGCCTTTCGTCCAAATGAAAGGGAGCTTTGCTTGGATCTTCCTTGATGTTTACTTTTGTAATTACTGGTTCCAATTGCTATTTTAAGATATTATCCTATAGGTGCAGAAAAGGAAAATAATAAATTAAAATCTTCAAATAGAGTTAACTGAAAAAGGCCATGTGATGGTCAGTTAATGTTCAGACTTGTCCCATCACACCTGAACTTGCTTTCCTCCAGTCACAACCTCAGTAAAAGTTAGTTTTCAGTCCAGAATTTTAAACTTTGTCCAAATCACCAAACCCAATAAAAAATAAAGTGCAAAAACACTGCATGATCCCACCTGCAATGTTTGAATTCACACTTCTGTGATCACACTTTCTTTAAGGAGAGGTATTTTTGAGGCTTAATCTATACAAATTTTTTTCTTCTTTTTGCAAATTCTCTTTACCCATGAAGGCCATATGGAAAATTGGCTGTTAGTGATATACTTTTCTCCCTGGGCTCCTGAGCCCAGCAGTGCCAAGTTGCTCCATCTGATTCTTAAGTTAATTTTCATCAGTTGTAAAGCTCTCAAATGTACACAAGAATGAACCTGTCTTCTCATGTAAAAGCGTATATATAGAAAGAAGGTTTCAAATATACATAGACACACTCTTCAACTGACACTTGAAGCACTTGTTTTCTCAGTTATTTCAGGAACCATCCGGTTGATCGTGGCGTGAAGGCCTTGGAGTTTTACAAATCTGTAAAACAGAAAAGGATATAAATAAAAGAACTTTAAAATACAAAAAAATAAAATAACTTCTAATAGAATAACTGCTATAACTAAAACTGGAGACCCATCTGTACACTTATAATCTGTTAAATGGAGCTATTGACTGTGCCAATGGGTAAAATTAAAGTAGTATAAGGATATGCCCCCAGGAACTTCAGGAAAACATACCAGATCAGGAGTCTGATTAGTATGTACCATAGTATTCAATTTGTCTGTGGCTAGGCATATCTGAATGAAATCATTATCTCCATTCTTCTGCACTACACTGTTCTAGGACTCTGGGCCCTGAATGTGCGACTTTATCCCTCCGAAATTCCGTGGTCACTGTTTAAACTGTAGTTCTCTAAAAGGAGATTCAAGAGGTTAGGCAGGCTTCTAAACTGATTTTTTTCTGTATCGGTTAAAGATAGTCCTAAGGATACAAAGTAGCAAGGGCCTTTAAAAGCCCTCTGTCCTTGACATATTGGCAGGTCACAGAGCAAAGTACAACTGTTTATTTAGCTTTTAAATTGTCCATGAGTAATAAAAGTCCTAGACAATTTATCTCTAGCAAATCCACCTTTCTCTTCCTTCCTACTGCTTGAGTTACAGACTCACATCACATCCTCTGCAAAGGTTGCAAGTTTGTCTCTAACTTCCGCACTATCATTGTACAGGATTCTCAAGAGTAAACTTTCTTATATGCAGCAAAGAATTTCCTCAGATCCTGAAGGAACAGGGCAGCACCTAGGTGTCCACATTTCAAACAAGTTCACAAGACATGCTAATTCTGCTGGTCAGGAGAACCCTGAGCACTACTGGTTCATGGGATTAAGTCCCAGCAAGGTCCTCTCATAAAAACTTAGTATCATAATAATACTAAAACAGATTTTGCTGTCTTCCCTGTGTTGACGACATTTGTATCAATGGTGCAAAAGCAACAGTGATCAAAATGCCAGTTATAGTACTAATCAAAGGAGCAAAACTACTGTATTAGTGTTATGGTTGAAACATTGTGTCAACTTGGGGAGTCTAGAGGTTTGGCTAAGTGACTCAGCAGGAAGCCAGAGTGCTTACTTTGTATACATCCTGAGCCTGAGGAAGAGGAGGGCATGGAGATTATGTGAGAGCTACACGCCCCTTAGGTGGGGGTAGCCTGTTTACAAAATAAGGCAAGAAAGAAGCTGCTTGCCACCTTTCCTCCGGTTTGCTCTGGCTGTTTGCTGTTCAGCTGCCATTCCCCCCTTTGCTCTTGTTGCTTTGCTATCTTCTGCCTTGGAGCCAGCCAAGTATGGACTGAAACCTCCACAAACTGTAAGCTAAATAAACCTTTCCTTCCTTCATTTTGGGCGTTGGGTATTTTGTCTCAGCAATGAGAGAAAAGTAACCAAGACAATTAGCAGTTCATGAATTTTTTTTTTGTTTTGTTTTGTTTTGTTTTTTTTTTTTTCCTCCGGTACCGGGAACCGAACTCACGACCTTGCGCTTGCCAGGCAGGCGCTTTTGCCGCTTGAGCTAAATCCCCAGCCCCTGTTCATGAATTTTTTAAAAGGTCAGTTTCTCTTTTGAATGTCCTTAATCAAGTGGTTAAAAGTGTAACTTTTTTTTTCCAGTCAGGATATTGTTATGATGCCCAATCTGGACTCAAGGTGATTCAACCTTCCAAGTAGCTGAGAACAGAGCCAGACACAATACACACGACAGCAGTAAAAGTATATTTGATTAAAAATTTGATGAACACTGATCCTTGAGTACACAGCTTTTTAATAGTCTGTGTTTCAAAATACTAAGTGCATGCTAAGCACTTCTAATGACTACTGAAGTACACGTAATCCTGAGGAAAAGCACTTGTGCTGCAGTATAAGCTACAAATTCAACTAGCTGGGTTTTTTTCATGGTATAGCATATTTACTGGAAAAAAAACTACAAATTATAGTTATCCTGGTTTGGGTACTTGGGAGACACTTCCTTAAACATGAACAAAGTAAGCCTATTACTATAAGGAAAACAACTGACTGATTGTTGCCAATGATAAAAGCTGACCTTTTAAATTAGAATCAAAATTTTGGAAAAATCAGCATCTGTCACTAAGAACTTAATATCTCACCAAAACTTAAAGACATTACTCATATAATTGAGGAAAAAACTAATAAATGTGTATCTTTATTTTGTATTTCACTCTGTACTGCTATAGTTTGGGTATGTTTTGTCTTCCAAAGGTTCATGCACTGGAAGTTTGGTCCCCAATGCGGCAGTACTGAAAGGGTAGCTAGACCTTTCTGAGGTGGGAACTAGCAGGAGTGACTGTGTCCTAACTAACCTCATAAAGAGATCAATGTTGGTCTTGGCAGTAGGTTAGGTCTCACAGGAATGGATTAGCTCCTAACAGAGCAGTCCATGGTAAAACAGTAAGCCTGGCCCCTTTCTGATTTCCCTTGCTTCCTCTATTGCCATGGGACCTCTCACAAGTGCTCTGGTATGTGATGCCATCTGCCATGTTACAACACAGCCAGAGGCACTTACCAGAGGGCAACAGATGGAGCCACCCAATCTTGGAGTGTCAATCTCCAAAACTATGCACTAAATAAACCTTTTACTTTATAAGGTACTCAGTCTCAGGCATTTTGTCACAACACAAAATAGACTAACACATATCAATATCTGAAAGACCCACATCCTTGTTATTTTCCAAATGTCCAATGATATGAGAAACTGTATCTGAATAAAAGATCCATCCAAGACACAAGAAAGACAAAATGATTTTAATGTAACTAGGTATGAAAAATTCATTGATATATTTCAAATTCTGTATTGAAACTAACCTTTAAAAAACTACCATTTGTTGCATTTTGGTATAATATCATAGAAAAATATTTAAAGTTATCTGAAAAAAATTATTAAAATACTTTCTTTTCCTATTTGCACAAGGTTAGATTTTCTTCAGATACTTTAACCAAAACAATATATTGCAACAGATTAAATGCAGAAGCAAATGACTACCTACCCCAATCTTTCAGTAAGCTAGACATTAGAAATAACTGCCAAAATATAAAATAGTATACATCCTTAATAAATTTATTTTAGAAAAAGTTATTTTTCATAAAAATGTTACTTATAACAATGGGTTTTAAAAAATGAATTATTATATTTCAAATTTCTGCTTTAATTTTTCATATGTATATATCAATAGACAACCATATAAACAACAGCTCTTTTGGGTTTTCAGTAATTTTTTTATGGATTAAACAAAAATAAACGACCCTGGCATCAAAAAGCTTGAAAACCACTGGTATGTATATGTAAATATTAAATTATTATAATTATTATATTATAAATATTAAATTATTATTATTATTATTAAAGTATGTAGGACAAACTTCTATAACAAAAGCTCAAGCCACATATGGTGGCACACATATGTAATCCCAGCTACTTGGAAGTCTGGGGCAAGAAAATCACAAGTTCAAGACAAGTTTATACAATTTAGTGAGATTCTGTCTCAATTTTTTTTTAAAGGGGGCGTTGGGGGATGTAGTTCAATGGTACAGCACTTGCTTAGCATGCAAAAGGCCTTGGGTTTAATCCCCAGTGTGTGTGTGCGAGGTCACCTCAAAATGTTTCATTTTTTTAAATTTTCATAGGAGTTTTAATCAAACTTTTTTTGCTGGTTTTTGGTTTTTTGGTTTGTTGTTTTGTTGAGTCAAGATCTCAGTATGTAGTTCAGACTGGCCTTGAACTCACTATGTAGCCCAGACTGGCTTCAAACTCAGCAAGCAGTCCTCTTGCCTCAGCCTAAGTTGCTAAGATTAGAGGCATGTACTGCCATACCCAGGCCTCAGTGCCATTTATGTTAGACAAATGTGGCATATGTTAATTATAAGGCAAAAAATTATATGCTACTTTATTATGACTCAAAGTAGATAATGAATATAAAAATCTAACGATGAAGCTCAAACCATCATCCTAATTTCTGAAGGCTAGAGCCAAGTTTTATACTGCCATTAATGGAAATGAGTGATGTCAAACGCTCTTCCTTTCTGCCTTACTTTTTCATGATGAGAAAATGAGGGCAGTAACTGATTAGTTTCTGAGGGATGATAAGATTAAGTGAATATTAGTCAGGGGCATAAAAAGATTAGAAACCAAGTAATCAATTGAAAGCAGGATCTTGAACAGATACCTGTACACCACTACCTATAGCAGCAGCATGATTCACGAGAGTCAAAAGGCAGAAACAATCCAATATGGATGAACAAAATAAGGGTATTATATGCACAATGCAACGGAATACTATTTACTTCTAAAAAGGAAGGTAATTCTGATATACGCAACTAGCCTTGCAGACACTATGGTAAATGAAATATGCCAGTAACAAAACATAAATACTTTATGATTCCATTTATATGAAGGACATACAATAGTCACATTTATAGAGAATGACTCTCACTAGAAGGGTAGGTATCGGGCTGAGGAAAGAATAGAGAGTTAGTGTTTAGTAGGTAAAGAGTGTCAGTTTTGTGAAATGAAAAGAACTCTGGAGGTAAAAAGTTGTAAAACAATGTGAATGTGCTTTAATGCTACTGTACTGTACACTTAAAATGGTAAAAATAGTAAAAAATTAATATTTTATATATATATTTCACCTCAATGTTTAAAAATCAGACAACTTTTTAAAAAGAAACTCTTCATAAGCCTGTCAATAACAAACTGAAAGTAAATCCTCCTCAGCTTGTCATGATGTCTTTTTACCATGAATATTGTAACACAGGCCTCAGAGCAACATAAGCAATGCTGATTTCTATATTCTGGCCCAAACCTGCTTCTCATAATTACAGCTGATTTTCAGAACATTTCTATGATCACTGAAAAAATCCATTCCTGCTTATAAGAGATTATAATCTTAAACCAAACAACAAATGTGTCTGACTGAATTACTACCTGAAGGACTGGAGGCCAGAAAACATTTTCATCAATGGTGCAAAAGCAACA